CCTTCATACAAAGAAATCGGGTGCAGAGAAGGGAAATTTTTTTTTTTTTGGTAAAACTATGAATTTGTATTACTTTCAAAAGTATTTACATCATGATTGTCTATTAATTTCTCTATACAACTGATTATTAATCTATTCAAAGATCTAACTGGAATGCCCAGACTATTCAAATAAAAATGTCATCATTGTTGCCTCTTCTGCAATGATACTGTATATTTCATGCCACCTCCTTTTTCATGTCAATCAGATGATCTTGCATTGTCATCTCCTTTTTGCTGAATTTTCTAAGGTTTCTATCGTCCAGACATGATAAACAACAGCATATAAAACTTTGTGTTTCACTTTCCTGAATCTCCATAACTTCAGCAATGTATTAATTCCATACCTGAATGAGCTCCGTCTAATTTTCGTCCCAGCCAGTCCATTGAAGCTTGCAGAAGTTGTTGAGAATAAGGGCAACTGAAAAACAGAACATCTGTATTCTCATAAGGGGTAGTACAGAGCTCACATTTTTTTGGACCTTGCAGTTGCAGATGCTCCATTCTGTCTTGAGTAAGGAGTCTATCCTTCATGGTAATCCATGAGATGAAGCAGTGTTTTCTGATATTGGAAGGACTCCAAACTATTTTAGCAGTAAGTTCCAGTAAGCCATTTATGGCCTTCTTTAGCCGAATAATCTTTTCCTGCTGATCTGTTCCATTTCCCATTCAAAACACCATTTTTAAGTTTGTCCTTTACTTTCAGCAACTTTTTCGAATGCCATCCACTGCTTCATAATCCCATATGGATTTAAAGGACCTTTACTTTTAGCAACTTTTTCGAGTGCCATCCACTGCTTCGTAATCCCATATGGATTTACCCTTTTTTTTTTTTGGTAAACCGTTTAGCCAAGCGGCTAAAAAACGTCAGATTACATATACAAAACAGAGGGTGAACTCAATTCAGCCTCTACTAACACGGCTATAGAGCCTGGGGGGTCATCAAAAAAACAAACACCCCTATATACATCTAAGGCTTGTTTAGCCAGAGTATCAGCGCACAGGTTATTCTCCCTGCACGTATACAAGAATTGGACTTCCCATTCCCCCTGTAAGACAGTGAGAATACTTCTTAACTCAGGGTCGAGGGGAGTCCTAGCTTCCTCTCTTAGGCGATTCACTTGTTCTATCGCCAGTTGAGAGTCGGATTCCACAACCACCCTGGGAATTTCCCGTTGTTTTGCCACCTGTAGTGCCAGCAAGATAGCCCTGAGTTCAGCCGTCTCCACAGAGCAGATTCCTTCATTCTTGTTAAAAGCTGCCATGAACCGACCAGTATCATCCCTGATGATTCCTCCCACGGCAGCTTTTCCAGAATTCAAACAGACCGCCGCATCACAATTCACCTTTTGCCATAGCGAAGGTGGCTTTTTCCAGCCTAGCTCCTTCACCCTGTTACTGCGGCTTTGCTGCCATTTAAGCAGATTCTGGCTTCTTGCAATTTCTTCCGATTTGTGCACAGCAGACCTGACAATGTTTCCTACAGCCGCAGTCGCTCCATTAAAGACTCTATCATTACGGCAGTTCCATAACAGCCAACAAGTAGATCCAAAATTCATTCTCCATTTAAAGTCGTCAGCTTCTAAGTTGGTTCTGAACCATTCTTTAGCATGCTGATGGAAAAATCTTCGCCTTCGAGACTCAGGTACCACCTGCGTCCAAACCTCCCTTGCTAGTTGGCAGTCGCGTAGTGCATGCAGAGTTGATTCGACTTCCCCGTGGCAGCACAAGCACATCTCAGAGTCGCTAGCCCCCCTCTGCTTGCACAATTCACTGGTCAGTAACCTCCCATGAAGTGCCAGCCACAAGAATGTTCTAATCCGCTGTGGTCCTTTCCATCTCCACGCTCTTTCCCAGTCTCTATCAACCTGCAAATGTGTGTCATTATTAGCTAATAGATAAGCCGATTTCACAGAAAACTTACCTGATCTGTCGAACATCCAGCGCGGCCTATCTGATCCTAAGCACTCCATTGGTGGAGGAATACTAGAAATTCTTATCACCACTTCTGCTGGCAGGAATGGTGCAAACTTGGCCACGTCCCAACTACCATTTGAAGATGCAAAATCCGCAACTGGCCTCCACTTCCATTCCACCGGTACTTGGTTCACTATGTGGTCTGATAATCTTCCTACCCCCTCGATCCATTGGTCCTCCCAAAAACGCACCGTCCTACCATTCCCGATAACCCATGTAGTTCCTTTCAGTACCAGATGGAAAGCATCAAACACCCCTTTCCATGTAGTGCACACTCCCCCCTTCCTGTCTACCGTACCATTCCTTGTTCTTTTGAAGTGCACACTCCCCCCTTCCTGTCTACCGTACTTCGCCCTGAGTACTTGCACCCATAGTTCCTCTCCTTTAGTAACTAATTCCCAGCCTATTCTCATCAAGTAGGCCGTATTCATTTCTCGTGCTTTCCTCAAGCCAAGGCCACCCCTCTCCTTTGGGCTACAGACTGTATCCCACTTCACAAGATGCATTTTTCTCTTGTCCACCGTTGACCCCCAGACAAAATTCAGCCTATCTACTTCGTCACAAACAAAAAGGGGTAGCTTGATAGATTGCATTTGGAAAGCCGGGATTGATTGCAAACATGATTTTGCAAGTGTAATTCTGCCGGCCAAAGAGAGCTGATTCGCCTTCCAGCTCGTCAGTCTATTCCTTATTTTTTCAAGCATTTCACTGTACGTGAGTTTTGTGATCCCTCCGTGCAGAATAGGCGACCCAAGATACTTTCCCAGATTGTTAGTCTCCCCATAACCAAACTCTGCACTGATGGCCCTCCGCAGCTGTGCAGGAGTGTTTCCTGAGAAGAAGATTTTGGTCTTCTGAGGGTTGACCTTCTCTCCTGAGACCCTGCAAAAAGCAGAAAGGACTTTTTGTATTAATCGTACCTGCTCGCTGGATGCCTCCGAAAACAAAAAAAGATCATCTGCAAAAAATAGATGTGAGATGATGGGTCCATTTCCAATACCCTTTAAGTAATAAGCATGTATCCAGCTTATCCAAAGACTTTCTTTCTTTCTCGCAATATCCCAAAGTTGTTTTCCAACCAAGGCCTGATTCCATGTGAAGACCTCCCTCAGATTTGCTTTTGCATCCTTCTCCCCATGCAACTAAGGACCACGATATGCTTTTGTGCCTCATAAGAACTCCCTGCAATGCCTCTCAATCACTGCCTTTGGAAGCAAGAAAATTCTAACCCAGTGAGAGTGGAGATTTAGAAGCACTGCATTTACAAGAACTAGCCTGTCGAGAAGACCAACATTTCATCCGGCCAACAATCTTTTCAACCATAGTCTGACAGTCAGTATAGGTCAAAGAGATAGTCTGACAGTCAGTATAGGTCAAAGAGATAGGACGCCAAGGAAATTTTTTTTTTCAAAACAATATATTTAGTGGTCCGATTAAATTAAATTTAGTGACTAATTTTATTACCTGATCAAACAAATTATCTAAGCAAATAATGAGTAGAAGGATAATGCGGATGTGGTTTAAATAATACGATAATGACGATGTGGTTTAAATAGTAGTCCAAATGCATATCAAGTCATTTATTTAAATATTAATTAATGATTCTAGAGCCCTAATTTACATCCACATTCAATCATTCCTTGATCATTTTGAAATTACGTCTAAACATCTTTGGTCAAATGAATGGATAAATGATAAATTGATCCTTTTCCCTTTTCTTGGTCAAATAACAAATACTTTGGATTTTGGGTAAGAAACGGATTAATAAATACTTTTTGCAGTATTTGCCTTAATATAATATATAAATATAATATATAGATTTGATAGTCTTACTGTTTTGCTAAATTTTGTCTAGTCATGCTATGTTACGGAATTAGTTGTTTCACATGTTTTGTACTTCAATCCGAAACCACTACTAAAAACAATGTAAGTTCCAAAAAGAGAATACTAAAAGAATAAAATAGCATGTGGATCCACCATTAGAAACCATAAGTGCAATATATATACTTACGTATAATGTCTAAGAAAAATAAGACAATTTCATCTTTTAAAAGTAATTACTTCAATAAATTGAGCATGAAAATTTCACTATCGAGAAAATTGGACAGTCAGATAAACGAATTATTTCTATCTCAATTTTTAAAAACTTGTTTTGGTTGTCTGATCAAAGGCAGTGATTTAAAAGATTTGAGACGAAGAAAAGACTTGGAAAAAAAGGACAAAACCTTGTTGCCCATATTCCATTTTATTTTCGTATGTTTCTTCTCTTAGTTTTGGAATCACCAATTAAACTTACTTTAAAAGTGGGGTTCTGAAACTCATACAGAAGCCCAACCAAACGCCATCACAAATACAAATGTAAAATAAGAACAAACTTACGTGGTTTGTCCCATCTGGTCGCACAAGCATCTCAAAAATACGAAAAGATTAGTCGGATAATTACAACTTATAGTTATAAAATCGAACAAGAAAACTTCCCTGATAACTCCGACTATTCATTAATGCTCGTTCATATAATTCTTCCCATTGCAATATCCTCGGTACCACCAACTTTAGAAGAGTTGACGGACCAAACTAACAATAAAGTATCCATTCTACTACTCAAGTCCAACATATATGAAGTGTTCTTAACTTATGCACACGAGGATCAAATATGTAACTGAGAATTTTAATAAGCTTACATATAAGCTGCATCCAATAAGTTAGCATTACAATGGCTGCTAAATTAAGAAACGAAGCCTTACATTTTCCACATCACGAGATAGGAAGGCGAATCTACAAGTTATCTAATCTGAGTAGAAGTAAGATGATCAGATGTCATTTCCAGAATCAGTTACACCATTGTTAGTACCTAGGAAAAATGGACAAGTTTAGTTTAGGTAAGCTTTAATGTCCAGGAGAACATCAACATTCCAGAAAGAAATATAAGAAATTGATAGCATCCATACTTCAATGCACATCGGTTCTATCTGAACAGAGAATTTTATACAGATCCAGCTCCACCTTGGCGAGTTATCATTTCTGCAAATCCAACCGAGTCTCTCTAAATATCAACCTGCTCTTAGATGAAGAAAGTTACAAATTTTAGCTGACATGATATCACTTTGAAAGAAGACACTAAGTTTGCACCAGGGTGAGACATAATGAAGGACGAGGCTTAAATGATTGATAAGCCTGAATTGAACTTAATTTTCATAAAACAGAAAATATGGGACAATTTCCAATAGGCAAAGAGAAATGGACATGAAGAAAATCCATTTTCAACAAAACAATAGGGTGTTAATCAATGGAAGCTGCATTTATCACATTCAAGTATAATGCATCTACTGTGAAAATAAACTGTTGCGACTATCTAGATTGAGCGGCTCAAATGTCATGCAGTGAGGTCCAGCAGATACTAAATTGCTTAACAATGCATATAGAAGTGCAGCGCAGTCGTTCAAGATAAATAAAAATACTTACACGAAATATACTACTTCCAATGCCTAGATTAAGGTCAAATGGCAACCACCTAATCAGTCAAGTCAGTAACAAACAATACGTACCATCAACTAGTGCCCTTGCAAATTTTCCTTTTCATTCTCTGGTGGAGACAATAAAGCATCGCCAGATGATTGGGAATTGTTCCTCATATCAACACTCAAAGAATCAGCTATGGAGTCCTCCACATCCGCAGTTGCATCAGAATACTGATCAAAAAGCTGTTGTAGACCATTTCTAGACTGAGAAATGCCTGTTTGGGCAGTCCCTTGAGCTTCATGGATCTCAGGATCAGAGACAGCAGTTTTTTCGGATTCGTTGTCCTTGTTCCCTTGTGCTTCAACAGAATCTTCAGGGGCAATCTCAAACTTCTCCACCAAAACTTCGGCAGGAGTAACATTCGGGCTGGCCATTAGCAAAGACGAAGATGAGTCCCCGTGATCATTAATGGTATTCATCAGATTATCAGCGCAATTGAGGCTTTCGGCAATTTCAACCGTAGAATGATCACTTTTGTCTTCTGCAACTTCAGCATTTGGAATCATCTCAACTGCACTATGCGCACTACTGTCTGCCACAACTCCAGCATTTGTAATGTTCATACTTTCCACTGACTTAAGCACAAGATCAGAAGTTACATCAACTTTTCCAATAGATTCTACTTGAAGAATTTCATCATTACTTTCATGTTTTTCCATATTGTCTCCCATAGGATCATTGACTGATTCATCCATATGAGGCAGTGCATCAGCAGAGCTCATAATCTCCACGGAGGATACAAAAACCTCCCTTGTCCTATTCATTGGAGTGTTTTCTTCCAGGAGTTGCATCTCTGCCTCATTTTCAGATCTTTCAACTTTGGCAATAGCCCTGGTTTCTGCATTTGATGTAGTTGTTTCTTCTAAAGTTTTGAACAGCTCAACAGCAGCTTCAGCATGTGATATAGTTGTTTCTTCTAAAATTTTGAACTGCTCAACAGAAGCTTCAGCATTCAAAACGGTGCTTTGTTCAACATCCACCTCATTTTCAGCTTCCAGATTACTGGCATCAGGCATCAACTCATTGGTTTCAGCATTTAAAATTGTAGTCTCTTTTAGTTCGACGTTCTCAATTGTGGCTTCAGTCATTGTGATATTAGATTCTTCCTGAGGTCCAACATGAGGTAGATTGATGTCTGAGATATGCAAAGGTGAGGATGTTTTCTCCTCGACTACCTGCCACGATACAGCAACATCAGAAACCACAGTAGGATTAGTAGCTGAATTATATGGAATTAAAACAAATGACTAGTTTACCTTGGAGGTTGATTCATCTTCTCCAATCTGAAATTCTACACCTGGAGAAACAGGTAAAGAAGATTCTGCTTTATGGGTTGAAGAGGGTGAGGATGTCATTTTGCCTAAACTTTGTTTCTCAACCAAGGCATGTGCTGAGACAAGGTCATTCTTGTACTTGAATTCTTCAGAGTTTGCTTTCCCTGAACTAGCCTCAGTATCTCCCACCTTAGATGCATCAATATTCCCATGATGATCAGCATCATCTTCCGATATTTTGCATTCTGTCTTGCTCACAGTTTCTGACTGTTGTAATACTAGTTGCACAGTACCCGAAGTTGGAGTTGGCATTTCAGATGCGCTCTCAGTTGCAGCAGATTGGATCAACAATGGGATCTCGGGGCAACAAGTATCCTCAGTATCTCCCACCTTTTGCATCGCGTCGATATTTCCATGATGATCAGCATGGTTTTCCGATTCTTTGCATTCTGTCTCTCTCACAGTCACTGGTTGTACAGTTCCCAAAGTTGGAATTAGCATTTCTCGTGAGCTCTCAGTTGTAGCAGATTGGTTCAACAATGGAACCTCAGGGCAACCACTAGCCTCAGAATCTCCCACCTTTTGCATAAGAGACTCCACAGATGTGTCAATATCCCCATGACGATCATCATGGTCTTCTGATTCTTTGCATTCTGTCTGGCTCACAGTTTCTGACTGTTTTACCGCTGGCTGTACAGTTCCCGAAGTCGGATGTAGCATTTCTCGTGAGCTCTCAGTTGCAGCAGATTGGTTTAACAATGGGACCTCAGGGCAACCACTCGCTTTGTTTCCAGAATCATCTGAATTCCCCTTTTCATGCAGATCCTCTAACTTACAAGCATGATCAGAGGTAGAAGCCACATTTTTGTCAATGCAGAAAACTGATGTAGAATCCTGCATTGTGATGTCATTCTCACGCTCTTCTGATGCTGTTTTAACACCACAACCATCATATCCCTCATCTAATAACTCAGAATCAGGAGCAGCTACAACCTCATTTACCAATTCCGATGTTTGGGACCCATATTCAACTTTTTTAATACCATCCTCTTCAGTTAAATTTTCTGACAGCCCAGCCTTACCTGTTGAAACCACTTTGACAAATGACGATACAGGAGCAAAAGCTTCACCGTCATGGCTTTGCGTCGCTAATGATGAAATGCCAGGCAAACTGGAAGTAGGTAAAACTAAGTCATCCCTGTATTCTTTGTTAATCAATTTTGGGTCTGAAACAAGGGCACCATCCTTCCCTTCCACATCATCTTGTTCTAGTTTATCAGTTGCTAGCTCACCTACACCAGACGACACTTCTGTAGCAGATTGTACAATAGCCAAAGCAGGATGCGAACTCTCTTCTGAGAGACTATCTGGACGCAGCTGAGCCTGAGAGGCAAGGGAATAACCTGAAGTTGTTTCCTTACTTTCAAACTCTGTGATATCTGTTTCAGCAGAAATTCCAAGTATATTATCTTCCGTTGGCAGCGCAGAAAGAACCGCTGCAAGTGATTCCTTGTTCGGAGGTTCTTCATTTGACAAATCTTCAAATGATTTTACAGCCTCTCCTATGCCATCTCCTACCTCATGCCTGGATTCAGTTTCATTCTTATCATCTATATGCTCGGCAACTATATCTGCAGCAGAAACCATAGCCTTATCAGCTTGAGCATGCCCTTCCTCAGCCCCATCTTTCTGCTCAACATTCTGGTCCACACAAGCTAAAGCATCTCCAGATTTACTTGTATCTGAATATATAATGTTCAACTGATTAGCAGTCTCATCATCAATATCCTGGTTAACGACTCTACGTTCACCAACAGAAGAATCTACATTATTTAAGAGCGTACCTGACACACAAACATTGCACAGTACTTGATCATCTTCATGATTATCTGCATTCCTATCTTTCGGAGCTGATTCAGAGAGTTCATTACTCACATCTAGTTGAACATCAATCTCCTTCTGAGCTTCGCTTTCCTGATTAACATCTTGACCAACTTCTGGCCCTGATTCAGAAATTTCAGCATTGATATCTAGACAAATATCAGTCACCTTTTGGGCTTCAGTTCCCTGATTAACATCTTGACCATCACTTTCTTGATTAGCAGCAGCACACTTCACTTCTGTAGCTGATTCAGAGATTTCACTGCTCATACCTAGAGGTGTATCAGACTCCTGACAAGTTTTGATACCTTTATTAAAATCCTGACAATCACTTTCCTGATTAGCTGCGTGCTTCACTTCTGGAAATGATTCAGCGCTAATATCGGGATGAACATCAGTTTCCATATGAGCTTCACTTACCTCATTAACATCTTCACCATCAGTCTCCTGATTAGTTGCATGCTTCACTTCTGGAACTGATTCAGCGCTGATATCTAGAGGAACATCAGTTTCCATATGAGCTTCACTTACCTGATTAACATCTTGACCATCAGTCTCCTGATTAGTTGCATGCTTCACTTCTGGAACTGATTCAGCGCTGATAATATGAGCTTCACTTACCTGATTAACATCTTGACCATCAGTCTCCTGATTAGTTGCATGCTTCACTCCTGGAACTGATTCAGCGCTAATATCTAGAGGAACATCAGTTTCCTCATGAGCTTCACTTACCTGATTAGCGGGACACATCACTTCCGGAGCTGATTCAGAGATGCCGACACTCGTATCTTGATGCATATCAGACTCCTCATGAGTTTTACTTCCCTGATTAACATCCTGACAATCACTTTCTTGCTTAGCCGCATGCTGCACTTCTGGAACTGATTCAGATATTTCAGCGCTCATATCTAGAAGAACATCACTGGCCTCATACGCTTCGCTTTCCTGGTTAAAAGCTTGACCATCACTTTCCTGATTGGCTGTACACTTAACTTCTGGAGCTGATTCAGAGACTTCAATGCTCAAATTTAGATGCGAATCAGACTCATGAGTTTCAGTTGCCTGATTGACATGTTGACAATCACTTTCCTCATCAACAGCACACTTGACTTCTTGAACTGATTCAGACATTTTAGCACTCATATCAAGACAAAGGTCAGTCTCATCATGAGCTTCACTTTCCTGATTAGCACAATATTTCACTTCTGGAGCTGATACAGAGGTCTCAATGCTCAAATCTAGACGAACATCACACTCCTCACGAGTTTCACTTCCCTGATTAACATCCTCACAATCCTGATTAGCTGTGGGCTTCTCTTCTGGAACTGATTCAGAGATTTCACCGCTGCTATCTAGACGAACATCAGCCTCCTCATTAGCTACACCATCACATTCCTGAATATCTTGATGCTTGACTGTTGGAACTGAATCAGAGATTTCAAAGCTAATATCTACACGAACATCAGTCACCTCACGAGCTTCACTTTCTTGATTGACATCGCAGAGAGGAGGATCTGATTTGTTATGAGGTGTATCTGCATCCATATTATGCAGCAGTAAATCCTTGTTCAAAATTACAACAGAAGAAACAGGAAGAGAAGGAAGTGCATTGATCGTTTTACCATTCATTTGGCACACAGCATTATTGTCCTCCATCTGTTCCCGGGAGAGTTCTGAAATGCTTTGAGAAACATCAGACCCAAGACACTTAGTTGGTTTAGAGACAAGATCCTCCTGTTCCACTCCCCTCGCTGGTGTTTGAATGCTAGGAGATGGATCAGATTGGTCAAGGTTCACCAATTTCCTAGCTGCTTCTTCCAGTTCATCACCATTTTTTGTAGACAAAGGATCTTTTTTCACTACCGGTTCATCCAATTCTCCAGGATTTTGAGTTCCACTACCTCTCTCAGGCTTACTTTCATCAAGAGGGATAGAATTCGCATTTACTTTCAAGAAATCAGAATCAACGTTTCTCATCTGTTTCGGTTCTTCATCTGCAGACTTACTGATTTGATCAGCAGGAAGACGGTCAATATCTTGAGATGGATTTGACAGATGGACCTTCGAATTCTTTGGAGCTTCATCCTCTTCTTGGACTTTGTTGGATTTTACCATAGCAGCTTCAATGCCTTTAGATGCCCCCGTCTGAGCACTCTCCGTTGATTCCTGATCTTTATTCTCCTTTTTATCATCATATGATGACCGACCAACAGAGTCTGCGAGGTTTTGAGATCCATCTAAGAGGGCTATGTTCATCGCTTGTACAGCTTTATCTTGTGACTTACTATCAGGCACTTGTGAAAATGCAGAACTAGTAATGGTCTCAGAATCAATGGACTGGGGTACGTTTGACTGATTCATAACTTCATCCTCCAGCTTACTTCTTCTGGTTGGTCTCCTGCCTGCATTGACCCTGGGTTTTTTCTCTGGCACTTCAGCCGATTTCGAATCCTGATTTGACACTTCAAAAGAAGCAGAAGCCTCAGGATTCTGTCTCTTTCCTCTGCGTCTAGGCATCTCTACTCCACTTTGGGCCTTACGACCACGTCCTCTGCCTTTAGGTGCAGCGCCAGAAAGAGTTGTTACTTGTGAGACACTGGCAATTGCAGGGATTGCAACAGGATTAGAACAAGAACTACCCAATGCAATGGGGTCCTGAGTAACATTAGCCATAACCGAAGAACCAGAAGCAGGAGCTGGCAATACTGAGAAGTTGCCAGACGCAGGCTGTACTGTCTGACTAGAACCTGGCACTTCTTCAGAAGCCGAAGAACCAGAATGGGCGCCAAGAACAGGACCAGCTGATTGATCGAGAATCTTTACTTGTTGACATTCAATATCTTTGCCCGCCAAGGAATCATCAGATGCAGGCTTATTTGACTGATTGGGAACTAGCCCTTCTGGAGATAATAAAGAACCAGAAAAGGTACCCGGAGCAGAACCTGCTACTTGGTTCAGAACCTGTACTTGTGGGGATTCAAAATCTGATTTGCCAGAGGTGGAAGGTGAAAGAACCGTACTCTGTGAAATTGTATCTTCTTTCTTGATTGTTCCGCGAGCACCAGAATGTTGAGAAACAGAATCAAGATTAACTACTGAAGAATTCAATGCCACAACTCCCTGGGTGGCATCAAAATCAATGTTGCCAGTTCTAGTTGGTGTTGGAGAAGTTGTAACTGCAGTTTGCCTCTTGCCTCTACGTCTAGGTGGTTCTGCTCCAGATTGAGCTTTACGCCCTCGTCCCCTACCTCGCACAGGCATGGATGGCTCAGGAAGATTTGTAGGTTGAAAAGCAGCAGGAACAGGAGGGAGAGAAGCTGATTGGATGCCAACCGAGGGTCCTACACTTATTTGCTGGATAGGTGCACTAATGGTGTTGTCAGGGATAGAGCCAGGCAATAAATCAGGGACATGAGAGTGGGGAACATTCCCAACCACAGTCAGAGCACTAATTTGTTCAGCTCCAGAAGATAATTGCTGAACTCCGGGTGACGGGGAAAAGTCAGTTGTTGCTGGTGTTCTTCTTGGCCTACCACGCCCACGCTTTGATGGTGGAGTGACCTCTTTGCTTTGTACCGATGCAGGCTCAACAGTAGGATTAGAAGGCAACAAGGGTAACTGTGCTTGTTGTGTTTCGCTAGTCACTGGTGCTGTGTCACTCATAACGATTGACAATCTCTTTTCAGTGATGTCCTTGGCTGGAGGGGAGTCAGGTGACTCAACTTGGCAAAGTTTTTCAAATTCTTCTTCAGTCAATTGCTCTTCATAAGAGCGTACCTGAACACACAGACAATTAGAGATAACAGGAAAGGGGAATTCTACAATGACAGATAGCACAAGAATTATACACGTGAGGGTAATAACTTGTCTCGTAATCTTATTCACAGCAACATTCACTAGCCAAATTCGTACCATGTTTATTCCATACCTTAAATGAATAGAACTAACAAATACAATGTAAATGAGTTATATGGCCCATTTAAGTTTTAACACACAGCCCAAAACTAAGACCAAAACCATTAGTTGTATTGTTTACAGCAATTAATGAACAATCCACATTCTCAGGCACGAAGAAGAACAAGCAAGAATAACTGATTCAAGTAGGCTTTGATTGTATAACATAACAATTTTACTTTATCACATCCGCATCAACTTTGCGAAGACAAATAGCTTGATAAATCAATGATAGCATTTCCTCTTCGCTCATTTGATGATATTTAAGTAAACTCACCTCCCTTGCTCGTTTTCCTCTTCCATAGTGTCGAGTATCAAGCCCTCCAAGAGAATCACCCTTACGCTTCATTCCAACATTAGATTCGACGGCCTTTTGTGGTAATTCAGATATCTTCATAGCTTCATAGAACGCTTTCAAGTCATCATCCATCAGAAGCCGAGAAGGCAAGGGGGGCAAGCATTCTGAATCTCCAGACCCGCTTCCTTTAACCAGTTGCATCCACACTCCCTGCAGTAATTGTGGCACTTGCATTAGTAAATGAAAGCAATAAATTACAATCATATGAGAAAAGAAAATGCAGGATACCAAAAAGATTCAAATTACCATTTCTTCTTCCCTCCTTTTCTTATCAATCGATTCAAACACATCGATTTCTGATTCACTGGAGCAGAAAATTAATCAGAAATGACTTACAACATAAGATTAAAAGGTCTCAGGCCAACACAGAGTAATACGTCAAGCCACAGCAACAAAAACGAGCGAATTAATTCCAAAAAAAAAGCAGAACCAAAAGTAACAGTGGCGGATAGCAAAGATAAATGTCATTACAGAACAATTTTTGTTCATTGGGCCTATAACACTGGAAAATATGATTCATATGTAGAAGAGAAACAACAAGTACAAAGCAGAGATTTGCATTTATCATTAGTAAACACGCCAAACTTGACAATTAAACAATGGAGAAATTATCATTTACAACAAATAAACATGCCAACCTACATCATTCAGTAATAAAACAGAAATCTAGCATTATACAGCAAACGCAACGGCTTCCAAGAACTCACAAACAGGCACATGGTAAACGAGAGAAACCAGATGATACAAATAATATGGTTAAGCACCTGCGAGCTATGACATCATTTAAGGCATCGTCATCCAAAACTGGTGCAGCTTCCTCCTTCTTGCACTCTCTTAATAGGGACTCCAAGTATTCTCTTCTATCTTCAGCACTGTTCATTATTATCCAAAACAAGACACCATCAAACTACAGCAAAGGAAATACCCAATTTATCAACTTTATGGAGTTTCTCAAGAAACCTGGTATTGTTATCAAAAAAACCGGCAGTAATGCTTTGGTTTGCAACTCCAAGTTTATGCTCTGCTGAAGCTCTAACTTGTTCTTCCACAGTTTTAACCTGAATAACAGAGAAATTAAGGTAGCTCCAAGAAAAAAGAATGGGAAATCATTTAGCTAGCAATAATGCATCAAAGCAGTTTGAACAGTAGGTGCACAAAGTGATGAGAATGGCGTCTATCTTAGTGGCTATTTAAGACTTTTACATAGGAAGTGGCAAATTTCTATCCGCGACTCAGCAAGTCCAATGACAAGAAACTGAAAGGAGGTCCATCTCATCAATCAAAAGACATATTAACTGACTTGTCAGCCTGACCTTGGACCTTCATCAACCGGTAAACCATGCCTACCTAAATTAAGATAATATACAGCCACTAGAAGTACTTCCAAATCGATGCTCGACAAAAATACTGCCTATTTGAAAAGACGTTAAGAGTTTTATAGTAGCTTAATTTGTGCGAAATTCTCCAGCATCAGTTTCATAGTAACATATTAAAAGACAAAGGAAACTGTGAATGTATATACATGAGTACAAATACAAGTGCAACAGTATGTCGGTGGGAGTGTAAGAATACATGAATGAGCTAAGCCATACTATTGAAAAATCAAAGAGGAAGAAAGGATAGAACTACATATAACTAAATTGAAAACGCCATACAATCAAAAAATCAAAGAGGAAGAAAGGATAGAACTGCATATAACTACATTGAAAATTGGATGTTAAATAGAACAGTAGCACCACCATCTCCAACCAAACTTCATCAATACCAAAACAAAGCACCAAAGGTACACATTTCATTTACAGGAATATCAGAAGTTAGCTAGCTCTCTCACATCCTAAAGGGGAAAAAGGCATCACATTGGTAAGCCGCATAACTCAGACTCAATACAAAATAGGAGATAAAGAGACTTATTTCATTTTATACCGTTTCAAGGCGAAGAACAAGAACATCCTTCTTTTGTCCAATCCTATGAGCCCTTGCCTGTGCTTGCAGATCAACCTGTGCAAGAGAAGAAGCATTCCGGTGAATTAAGAATCAAGCTATCTCCAACGACCAAAGAAAACTCACACAGCCAGAATCTCAAAATTGCCTGTGGATTCCAATCTGTGTCAAATATTATCACAGTGTCAGCCGCTTGAAGATTTACCCCCACACCTCCAGCTCGAATACTGCATCCATACGCAATTGATTAATGTCTGACGAACTAAGGCGGCTTCGGATACAAATGCATAAAAATCAGGAATCTTGATCTGCTTTCATGCCCCCCCTCCCCAATAATGTTAAATATTATGACGCAGACCTAATGCAATGAATAACTCTAATAAGTATCTGCACTAAACAAAAAGCACACCAGAATGAATGACTAAAAAAACGTTAGCTTAAAATACTTCCACATGACGTCCTAAGTAATCGTGTGACAAACCCTCCATGTGTTTCCGATTTAAATTGATATTTAACCTTACTTTTTCAATACGTTAACTCAAGCTCTTGTTAATTGTTCACAATTAGAGCAACTATCTACCGTTTATTGCTAACTTCAAGAGTCCAGAAATTAACAGGGACTGCACGAGAACGAGGTGCTCCAACAGAAATAATCAAGAAAAGAAAATGCACACAAAAAATTCAAGAGGAAAAAGGTAGGTTTGGGATAAAATATGTCACCAAAAAGTCTAGAATCCTACAAGTAGTGGTTAACGGTAAACAAGACGACCAAAACAACACCCATTAATTGTGATATAAAAATGTTACTAAAATGTTACAAGTTTAGAGTGCAGTCATAAACAGAAAAATGTGAACCATAAGACCTAGCTAGCATATTACCTGAGCAAAAAAATAAAAAATGGAGAACCAGGCCGGTTAAACTGGTCAATTAGTGCTCCTCGATCGCCTCCAGATGTATGACCATCTAAGCGCAAGTACTTGTACTGCTTCCAGCAGAGATAATCCTCCATGACATCAAGTAACCTAGTCATAGTTGAAAAGAGAAGAACCTAGAAAAAGAAAGTTAACAGTTTTACTTTTTAACTCATTGTTTAACAAATTCAAAAATATTTTATTGGCATTTTAGAAAGGAACAAAAGATGAAGAGGCTGAGATGAGGCTTTTTTTTAAGCAAAAACAAAGACAACAAATTTCTCCACCGAAATGCACTACAAAACAAAAGGGAAACAAGGAATGAAACTTCAATCAGGACTTAACCGTCCTAATCTAACACATTAAGTAGAACATGCTCATTGTAAGATGTTTTAGCATGATTAACACTATACACTCAAAACACGCACGCACACACACACAGAGAGAGCAATAAAATTGATCAGTAATTGTGATGACTCATGAATGTGGTGGGATAAGATCCCATTGCAGTCTCCAAAATTACAAGCTTCATTAACACTTAAATCCACATTCCTACAGTTATAGGTCCTTTTAATGTACACAACCAAGTCAGACAAGCCGCACATAAAAAGCATATAGCACACAATGCATCAAATTAGCCAAGAAGATAGAGAATTATCAATAGCTACACCTAATAAGGAAATATAATACAATGCATCAAATTAGCCTAGGAGAAAGAGAATTATCAATAGCTACACCAAATAAGGAAATATGTCCATCTCAACAAATCTAAACCCAAACAAAACACAATCTTCCAGGAGGTGTTCTCACACAAAACAAGCATGTAAAAGATACACCACATCATGCAATACCACTGAGCCAGGGCATCAAAGTAAAAAAATATGCCAATGTCTACATACCCGGTGATCAGTAGCTTTCAATTTCGGCAACAAACGATCTAGCATTTCAAGCTTCCCACAAAGTCTCACAATATTCGGCAGATAATGCTGAGGTATGAAATCATGAACCTTTCGACAACAAAAATAAATACATAAATAAAGCGAGGACAGATTCGAGCCGCATATATGAAACACAGCCTGATTACATGACAGAAACAAGATTTCTAATAGCTAGAACGCGCAACACAAAGACTCACAATGCACACACTCACCCACGTATTATTACATCCCGGTAAAAAATGAACGATTTTTTATGTCAGGGTACTCATTTATTCGAAATTATTAGTAGCAATGTAGCATTACTCCTTTAAAGAAAGAGCTCCAAGAAAGTACCTTCAATATTCAACAAAGTATGTTTAGACTTTAGACCATTGCATTTTCCATGTTTTCATATGGAAACTACACTTAACCAACCATGCTACCTTCTTCAATTTATGAAGAAAGGTTGCCAAGCAGTTTTCTAAAAGAATCATCTTTGCCAACTACTCTGGTATGGTTACATTGGGACATCTAGGTTCTACAAACTTCAGATTTCTCTATATGTAAGCATACTATACAGATAAAGTGGGATGTAGCACCCAAAAAAAAAAAAGAGCGGGACGTTGCTGACAGAAAAGATTTGATTTCCCAATAACAAGGAATAAACTAGCTTGTACAAATTCTAAATCAATCGCGATCATATATCTAGCTTATTCCAAACTGACCAAGAATGTAAAGAGAAGAGCACTACCTCTTCCACATGAAGTTGGCTGAGATACGGATGATTACATATATTCCGTAGTTCCATAACTGAATTGTGCACTGATCGAGCCTACAAAACGTACATAAAAGTCAAATGAAGTAATGGATATAAGCTCATATAAGCAAATCAAGGTAAAACATCATCGTTGACCATTTAATTGACATAATCATGGCAAGCTTGCTAGAAACACCAAAGACAAATGTTACTAATACTAACGGTAACCAGATAGAACAGAACCAAAACGGTACCACAAAAGAAAAAAATATCAAATCAGATAGCATAACAGGTGCACTCCCCACATTACCAGCCATCCCTTCTATATAATAATATAATCCCTCCAATAGTAGCTGCAACAAGAGCATCATATAGAAGAGCCACATGCACAAAGAAATAAATTCATACATACAGTACACAACTCAGCATCTCAGATCAACTATGCAGCCTAAAGAGAGAAACGGCTACCTTTGAAGTACCAATAGCTCCTAGATTCTCTTCCACCCTCTTCATCAAAAGCTTCTGATATGCAGAAGCTTCACATCGTATCAATCGCTCAATCTTCTCAGGCAGTTCATTCTCAACCTGAGTTTATCATTGAAACAATAGTATAACATGTTAGTTTGTAGCAGGATACAAACAAAATATACCAAAGGAGAAAACTTTCCCTCCCTGAATAACAAAATATACTGAATAAACATGACCCAATTGGTAAAAAGTTCTACACAAACAACATTGCATTGCTTAAACCCGTCCCCTCTCCCTATTAAAAAATAAAAATAAAAAAAAACTAACTAACAACGTTTAGGCCATCAAAAAAATTAATGAAAATCTTGTCCACAAATAAACAACATTCAGGCCATCAAAAAGAACTGAACGCATGATAAAATGTCGCAATAGAGAGTATCTAATAAAACAATCTTTTAACAGGAAACACTTGAATAAAAGGAATGAATAAACATCTCCATCCAGTAACTAGGTAAAAGGATCTGCAAGGTATGCTGATGAGCATCAGATATTGAAATCAAGGTAGCACTTCTGGATGATTGCCAAATGACTCCCTTTGCAGGATAATTGAAACAATGAACATACTCGGTTAGGCAACTATAAATCAACTACGGGAAAAAGTTGCAGAAAACATTAGGACTCGTAGAGTTGTCCGTCATTTACATCTATTCATCGCAGAATGTACATGAAACATGGTTTGCATAGAGACAATGGTTTTGCATGTGTAGCAAAAGATGCGGACTAGGGTCACCATCTAACAACAAAGAAAATTTACTACTTTTCCCCAAAAAAGGAGTTAGGAATGCACTCATCAATGTTCTTCGATTAAAGATATGAAAATGAAAATAAAAAATAAAATGGAAGAAACTGCAGTTTAGCACAGTGGGGAATGATATTTGAGGGGAGGAAAAAAACTTAAACAATGTGCTATTTTTTTTAGGGGAATGATACTTTTCTTGGGAGGGAGTCTTGTTTTTTGGAAGGTAAAGAAAAAGTATAAGAGGGGAAAAATATTCAAACAATGTGAGAACAACTTTTGGAGGGAAATTAAGATTTAAGCTGACTGCTTTTGGATGTTATTTTTATGTAAAGGAAAAAGATAAGTTTCCCTGAAAAGAGCACTAAAAACATTGCTCTGTCAAGTAAATGAGTCTTGGTGTAGCCTTAAGACTCGTGGTAAGAGCCTCACGGGTGTTGCATAAGCTGTCTAACCCCCAAATAGAAAAGGTAAAGATATATGATTATAAAGCAGCAATCAAATAACAATGTGCATCACGAGACCCAAGTAGGTTGTAGGCTGATTCATCTTATGATTTCTCAAATGTAGCTGTATTAAAGCTTCTGAATCAGCATCGTTACAGCAAATCCTGAAAAATTATCTGTCCATCTAATCACAAAGAACCAATGCATCCAATGTGATACCAAATATGGGAAACAAATTAAAGGCAGAACGATGCAGAAGTTCAAAGTCCTAATCTCCTATCAAATAGTAGATAAACAAGGTCATATCGAATAAACACCTTGCATGAGATTTTCACCTCGCAAACCACCTAAAAGAAAGAATTAATCTTCCTTTGTTATTCATCCCCCCTACTCACACATTTATAAGAAAGAATCCTATGGATTTCTAAATTCCCAGAAAGAAGTGCTAATCCTAAACTTTTCAAGGTATCCTTCATTAATGTTAGTGGGAATGGGTGGCAGCTTAATCTTTTCAACCTACACTAAACTCTACTACATCTTGCCCAACAAACTCACTAAGGGTGGAGTGTGTTGACAGGGAGCTCAAATTAATTTTGAAGTCATATCGAATACAAAAGCAGAAGCTGTTAAGTAGTGTGTCTAATGCGTTTCTAGAATGCAAACAATGATGACCGTCTCAACATGTTTAAGTTACACTATGAGTTGCCAACAATGCCCGTGTTAAATATTTTTAGTCTGTTCCCCAAATGTGAATAGGTTTGTATCATGCCAACCAGCAGCATAAAATTGGATTTTGTGCATAGTATAGAATACAAACGGCGAGATAATAATCTACATTACCAACTCACATAATGGTTTTGTTGTTATTGTATTATAGGAGAATCGCCCAATTAATCAACTTCCTTACATCCTTTTTTCTCTGTGAAATATAACATCTTCAAACTTTTCTGATGGATACTGAATTCCTGAACTTCAATATCTAACTTACCAGTAAGTTGACAACCAATGTTGTCAGCAAAAACCCTGCTATGTAGAAACTTGACAGTGTAATAAAACAACAATCACAGCCCGAGAGGCTACCCCCATAACCTTTAATTACCCATATAGACGACACAAGATAGTGCTCTAACCTTGTGTTTTAACCGCCGCAGGACAAATGGACGAAGAACTTGATGAAGACGATTGATGATCAGAAGATTCTCTTCCTCAGATAGCAGAGCCTAAATTAACATCAAAGGATGAACTTTTATAAGAAAATTAATGGAATTGAGACACTTGAAAAGGTAACCAAGATATGTAAAACCAGCTTATACACCCCTCCTCAATAAGTTTCAAAGCCCAATTCTGTATTATATAGAGATAATGGTCCTGAATATATATATTCAAACTGGAAGCCAGCATAAGCAAAATAAAAGTTGCTTGAAATAGCCCAATAGAGCCTAGAGTTCATAATACCCCACACTTGTACAAAATTTCAGAAACCACAAATGACAAATGCAACAAAAAAAAAGGGGGGGAAAAGAAAAAAAAGCTTACTTCGTCAGGTGAATTGTCACCATTACTCTCGAAAGGTTTATTAAACCACTGAGAAAAATCCTCCGAAGAATTGAAGATGTTTGGCAACAAGAAATTGAGCAGCGCCCATAGCTCCTCCAGATTGTTCTACATAGTCAGGACATAACATAATTAGAATAGAGGTTACAAGAGCAAATAAGAGGTGAGTAGGAGAGAGAATTTTAGAGAGAAGGAACGCTAAGGTCGGACCAGTGGAGAAGAAAAGCGCTGGTGGTTAAATAAAGTAAATTTAAATCAAACTTCATACTAGTATGAGGCAATCCATAAAAACAAGAGTATTTGAGAAACCTGTAGCGGGGTTCCAGTCAGCAGCAATCTATGATTACTTCGGTAATGCTTCAAGTCTGCGTTTAACTTGCAAGAGGCATTCTTTATCCGATGCCCTTCATCAATGATGATATAGTGCCAGTGTACTTTACTTAGTTTCGGTCTGTCATGCTTGTTCATCAAATATTCATATGTTGTCAATAGAACATTGAATTTCTGCTGTATAATCTGTTCCCTGTGAAGTTACAAAATCCTAAATCAAATTCTTTATATGAAGAGATGCATTTTCAATTGAGAAAACGAAAATCACATTGCTCACTTAAATAGCCTACGCCTCTCCTCCGGTGGCCCAGAATAGACAATCTTCTGAATGCTGGGAGCCCAAAAATTGATTTCAGACTCCCATCCAGGTAGCACCGAGGAAGGTACAACAACAAGAAAAGGGCCCCTGTCATTCTTCGTCTCCATAAGGTAACATAAAAGAGAAATGACCTACAAAACCAGATAAATTAGGAGAGAAACCGGAAAAGAAACAGCTAGAGTCGTATAGGAGAGTGGAGGTGATTGCTCAATGAGATATCTAATGTGTTAACATAATGTTAAACCAGTACAGGAGCATGAACTATACAACTAAAAGTTAAACTCCAAGTAAAACAATTTGACCAAGAAGTTAAAACCCAGAGTTAAAGTTTGTACCAATTATAAGAGCATGTCACACAACTCGTACCTGAACAGTTTTACCAAGGCCCATTTCATCGGCAAGGATACCATTTAAATGGTTATTATAGAGTGACACCAGCCATCGAAGTCCATTCATTTGGTATCTACAAGCCAGTAGATAATTTTACTTAAGCAAACACAAAAGAGATTTCACCGAGGCAATAAAATTGAAATAGAATAGACTTTTTGCAATGTGAATGAATGCTTTTGGCCGGAAACTAGGCTTTGTCCCATCTTAATTTCCTTCTTCAATAACCTAATTTTTCTTTTACAGAAAAAGAGAGCATCCAAAATAGCTATTCTATTTTGAAATTCAAATCTTAAATGCCCTCCAAAGTTATCCTTGCAGTAATTTCAAGGAAAATGTTTCCCTCCAATATTATATTTACTACCTAAGTGGTATAAATGAAACCCTTGATTCTCTTTAAAAAATTCTCCAAAAGAAAGCAATCAAACATAACCTCAATATCACCATAGTGTGTCTACCTCTCTAGAGGTGAAAGAGATCAACGACGAAAACATTAATCTGAATAAAATAATGTTGGAACAGCATGACTTACTCCCGCAGTTTCCCACCCAAAAGCATCGTTGGCTGCTCAAAGACATTCTCTTTCACACTGCCAAAAAAACAACCCAGCCAAAGTCACAATCAGCATGACTAAACATTGAAAAGCTTACAAAATAAAGTCTAGAAAACATAATGACATTACTCTATTCAAATGAAAACAATACTGCTACTCCATTTGACAAATTAAAAAATAAAAATATTTTTACAAACACAAAATCTACCTGTGAGCCATCATATAGTATTTTTCATTGCTTTCCAAGTAGTGCTGAAAAACAGATCATAGAACAAATAAGCGGCCTAACAAAGGAAAAAGTATGCCAAGGACAAATGCTCAATCTGAAGAACAATTTAGACACCTTAGCTTGGTCTGTTTCATCTTCATTCTCAAAAGAAATCTCATTTTTCTCTAACATGTTATTTGATTTACTATCATCCACATCAGTCTCAAATCTTCTTGCCATGTTTTTAGCATCCTGCAGTTTTGAACCAAGCTTTTGAAGATATTTTTCAGTCTCTTTAAGCAGTTGTTTCACACGGTCAGATTTAGCATCCTGTACATCATTTAAACCAAGCACAAAACAGAAAAAGAATCAGCAATGTGCCCCAGATATCAGGTATTGCATATTTCAAGAAAATTGGTAGTTCAGAAGAACTGCAAAGGACAGTGTAGCTACAAGAACTAAGCTTAAAATGAAGCCACAATTTAAAATGAAGCCCTAATTTACCTGAACCATCCGAAGGTACCCCTCTACATCATTGATCTTTAACAAATTAATCTTCTCACGTTGAATTCGGTCAATCTTCTCACGGTGTATACGTTCCTTCCTCTTATGAAATTCCCTTACATATCTATTGAAACCTTTCCAGCGTTCTCTCTTTATTTTAAATACATCCTCCAACCTTTCCCTGAAAATTTAGATTGCCAGGAGAATGTCATGAACAAAACATTTCAAAACCAAGCACCCAAAAACAATCAATTACAACAGTCTGCATTGTGGAATTTCAAAACCTAGCGCTAAAAAAGAATCAACTACAGCAGAATGTAATGTGCATACCTATGAACTTCCACCTCACTGAAAAACTCCTTCTGCCTTTCACGTATTCTCTTTTGTCGCTCCTCCTTCATTTTCTGTTCATACCTCTCCAGTTGTTTTGACTTCCTTCCGATTCTATGCTTCTTAATTGATTTAAGACGATCCATTTCAGATGCTATTGGTTTGAAAAAATCACTCAATATATCACTGCAGAATAAAGGTTCACGAAGCACACAAAGTCAATCGAGCAGAGATTCAGGATGCTACAGAAAGAATAAAACCCAAAAAAATGGAATGATGCAAGAAAAGGAAGCTTGAAAAACTAACGTGTACATTACCTCCGAAGATGCCGTTGCAGATCCAACAATTTGAGCTTCTTCAATTCAATCACACTCTTAGTTTTTGCATTAATATCTTCAGAAGAAGATACATTTTCCTACAACATAGAAATAGTTTCATATCAACAAACTTTCAATGGAATCATGGACAGAAGCAGGGACAATAAGTAGTAACAAGGACTAGCAAACGTGCCAATGTGAAAAGTGAACCATGTTGGTGAATCATACTTGTAAAGAAAGGTGTATAACTAACCATGTTCAACCCAAAAATAAAAAATAAAAATAAAATATAAAGAGGAAATAAGGTATTGGAGCCAAACATATTTTGAGAACCTAAATCGACAAGAAGAGGCAAATTCCAATCAGTATACCAGAGGCAAGATTGACAAGGCATCATCTAAAACATGCAAAAATAACTGAAGTAGCCACCTCATTCTTTAAGCAGAAAGAGAAATAACAGCCATAAACAAAACCAATAAGAAATTATCAAAAATTGAGACGGTATAAGCCTTTTACAGGAGCAACCGATCAAATACCAAGACAGTTAACAGAAATAGACATGATTGATTAGAATATTTACACCCAAATTAACACGTTCCTCCAACAAATTGTTCAGAGAAGCCTAAAACAAGACAAGTCAATCAAAATTGGAAAGCATTACTCTTAAATCATTTAAATCATAATATTACATAAAGAAGAGTACTCACATAGAGCACCTTATGATTCATCAGTAACTCTCACACCACCGATTTAATGTTTGCAGCCATAAAAATGTTACATTGAGCATTGATTCTTCTCATTAATAGGACATACACCAGTACATACCATGCCAGGAATCTATTCTATTTATTGCCAAACATGTGACCCTAAGCAAGTCAATGGGGACACAAGAACATTCCTTTTGCAGAAGGCATATTTGGATATCTAAAGGATCAAGCTATTAGCTTGGATGCATAGCAAAACTTCATCTGCAATATCCACAACTGATCGCGAGTGAATGATCTCACACAGATGGCAACCATTACGAAAGAAACTCACTCTATAGGAAAAATGATATGGCAACCACTCCTACTAATCCTGTAAAAGCAAAGAACTCCTAACACACTTTCATCATCCATAGCCCTAACAAAACTGGGTCAATAACACAGCGCAATTCATACCTTTCGCAATACAACCTGAAAACACCAAACTAGTGGTCTCCAAACTACTTTTTTTAATCTCATATTTTCTTGTTATGCTTAAATGCGCAAGTTACGGTTTTTACAGGTTTATAAAATGTTGAATTCATTGACTGGAATACATCCAGCACAAAATATCATTGCTTGCTTGGGAGGAAATAAAGCATATTGAGTACCAACCTTTAGCTTTGCAGAACAGACGGCAATTTTTCTTTGTTCCGTTTTTTGATGTTTCATTGCCCATGTTTTCTCCGTTAACAGTTTCCTTTTCTGCCGTTCCAAAACCCATTTTTCTAAGGTTGTGTACTTCGGCAAAGGATGAGTTACTGCAGACAGATCTTCGTACTCCGTATCAGTTTCTTGTCCTGTACAGTAAAATCAAATTATAAGTGGGATAAAGAGAAACTACAGTCTAAGAGATCAAACTATAAGCAGGCCTAGAAATCTTATCTATCCAAGGAGCTCCATCATAAATGTTACATCTTTTAGCTTTATTTAACCACAAACACACTAATGAAGATTGAAACACATAATGAAACAATTTTGCAAAGCACGCAAACCGAAGGTAAATCTACACCAAAATTAGGATGAAAGATCCAAATTTTACCTGAAAGCATATTTCGTGCTTTTGATTCAGAATCCTTCATGAGCTTTGGTGCAACATTATGGCCATCGACTCCTGGAATAGGCTTCCACTGTTCTCTTGAAGGCAAACTAGGAAAGTTACCATCTGCAGGGCGATATCTGAAATTATTGCCATCAGCAGGACTCTGGGATTGACTTGCACCAATTTCTTTTCGTTGTGATTCCTGCATCAACCCAGAGGCAGAAGATATAATGGGTGCCTCCAGTTGACATCCATTTCCAGGCCAACTACTCACATCAGGCTTCATATGCTTGCTTGACCCAGAAACGGAGGAAGCAGGATGTGACATAAAAGGCTGTTGTTGAATGGTCCCTGAATCAGCCTCACCACTGCTACCTGGAATATTTCTAATAGTCGTATCACATTGCATGCCTCTGATTAAAGATGCAGGTGATTCTGATCGTTCTTGCTTTTGCATTTCAGTTTCCGCCTTCCTTCTTAAAGCTAAATTAAGTCTCCTCTCATCAGAAAGATCATAAGGCACAGTATTGTGGGTGCTTTTATCCTCCTTCATGTTAGGAGTATGATCTGCTCCTGGAGAAAGGTTAGCTTCTGGATAAATTCCCGTGGAGGGGAGTTTATCAACCCCCCTTGCGTTATCCATGCCTGCAGGTGGCTTACAAACTTCAGGCATGTTGTGTTGTTCATGGACAGATTGCTCCTTCCCCTTGGGGTCATTCATCTCCCTACGCGCTCCTTCTGAAGTAAAATCTCATTAAATACAAAATAAAATGGCAAGCAGTGGGACAAGTAAGTAAAACCAACCTTCTCTAGGGATGAAGTTTCCAAGTGCTATTTCAAGATGAAGTTTTTTAGGCATCAGACCATTCCTGCGGGGAAAAAATAAAAATAAAAAAATAAAAAAAGTTAATGTCACATTAAAACAGCAGTGAACAAGATTACAAAAGAAAAACGCTATGCTTAGAAAGGGTAGAAGATGAAGAGCAGCCTTTATACCTAAAAGCTAAAAACACAAGGCACTGGGCTCTAAGCTGTTTCAGATGATGCTCTTTAAACAGCAGGCCAGGAACTGGAGCCTGGCTACATGCGGCTTTCCCAGTATCTCTTGGAGCCACATTCCTAGGCATACTGGTTTCTGGAACATTACTTGGCATGCCAACCTACAGATACATCAAAATCGAAGCCTAGCTTAAGCATAAAGCACATCAATAATCATCAAGCAATAGCCTATTTGGCACCGTAGCAAGCTAAAAATAGAAAAACACTATCCTTGAACTTTGGTTTAGGCAAAAAAGAAAGAGAAACAGAATAACAGCAAAAATGTAGAACAATAACCGGACAGTGGTTTGTATATCAGTTTACAAATGAAAGCCACTTCGCTATTGTAGGGTTGCAGCACCAAGAATAAGCTGCCAGTCCTTTTAGACCAAGTTACTTTATAATCTTGGGACAGAAAAATCAAGCAGGCCACATCATCCACCCGGTTTATACTTTCAGCATTGCTACTGGAGTCGATATGCATTTATCTTTTCGCTTTCAAAAGCAGCAAAATGCACAAACATAACAACATGGAGTCAAATGACAGCACACAAAGGCATGGTCCGACAGTTTTAGGAATGAGATAATATGCCACTCGAATCCAAATGTGTCAGTATTGAATGATGTGATGAGCCAAAATGTTTTCAGCAGCCAGAGGGAGGGGGAAAGTGTGTGCAATAGAATGAACGCTAAAACTGGAAATGAAGTTGTCTCAACCAACGTAAATCAGTTATAGGCTACAGTTCCTAAGCCAAAATCACAACCAAATAGCTCACCGGCCACAAAGAGTACAATTCATAAATAGGCACCTGATTCAGTTTATTGGCATTCAGCAAGAGACTGGATCCTCCTTCATGTTCTGATGTCCTGCCAACTATATTTTTACTTGCATAATGGTCCGTTGAGGATGTACCAGCAGCAAAACCTTCCATTCCTTGCATCTTTCCAGCAAAACCATGATTTTCAAATGAAGAATTAGCAAGCTGCGTAGGTGGTGACACCCCTGTTTCTCCAGGGGGATATGATGATGCAGCACCAGCTGTCATTCCATGGACCTTGCCAGCTACACCTGGAAGTTGTTCAGTAATCCATCACAGGTAAAAATCTATAAAATGTACTGTATAAAAATAGAGTAACCATATCAAAAGACTCCCAGATGCAAATTTAAAATACTTTTACAAGCACAGACAATACTAATTTCTCAGCCTATCAAATGGCCAGGCCACAGTCTATAGACCGTTCATTATGAAACTATTAAAAAAATTGAATTGATTGTGCCAGTAAGAGGGAAGCAAGCAAAGTAACATAGTAAATACAAGTAAAGATTCACAGTAATATATTGAGCGTTTCATTCTTCAAAAGAAAAACCGAACCAACGGAGGCTTATACGAGTAATCTTCTTTATCTCTGCATCATAATCGGAAGTAAATGATTGATTCACTCACATTCTTTTCCCAAGGCCAAAGAGCAGGGAAAAAGTGGCACATGCAACAAAACCGTGAGAGATTGCCTGTTTGATACAAACTCTCACTTCCCCAAGTCATATTCTAATAGTTTGTGTAAGTACATTTTCCTAAATGATTGTACGCTATAGTAAACACAAAATAGTGGCCAACTCCAAACTAATAAGAAAACCATAAAACCAGGAATCCTTCAGTTTGAACATAGTTAGCTCTTCTACAAGCTGCTTTCATACTTAAAGGCGGGTGATGAAGGAACATCTATAACTTAAAAAATCAGACAAGGATAAAGACTTTGATTCATTTAAAATTCTAGTTGCAATGATAACAAGGTAATTCTATTATATTAAGCTTCTCCCAAAAGTTCAGTTCAGTTCAGTTTAGTATGTGACTAAGTTTTGAACACCACTTTCACTTAAAAACGTTTCCCAGCTTAGTTTAGTTCAGCCACTACAACCCATGGATTGGGCATTCATCAAATATTTTCCAATATTAAATAATTTCTGCTCACCTTTTCAAAGCTGATAAGCTTGACCTGTTAATCATACTCCATGTTTTAGATAGTCAACCTCAACCAATGGCATTTCTAAATTCCTTGGTTACTAATTGATTAAAAATAATTTGAAAAATCCATAAAATTCATTCATCCAGGAAACATTCCACTGGGTACAAATGCAGCAAAACCTTGAATCCAGACCTAAGAGGTTTGAAAATGAAAAGATCTCTACCGGTCATATTTGATGCATCATGCCCACCACCACTAGGACCAACATGCGAAATTCCAGGGGGATATGAATCAGGTTTAGACAACTCATTTCCTGCAAGGCTAGCTTTTGGGTCTGTAGAAACCCCAGCCCTCTGCGACGAACCTGGCACAGCACCATCATCAAAATATCACACCCATATCATGTGCCAATACGTATAAAAGCCATGTTAACACAATTAGCATGACAGAAGAATAGCATTCTACCTCGAAACTTTAGAATAATGTGTACTCACCTAGTACTTGTGATGATCCAGATTCTCCTAACTGTGCTCCAGGAGGAGCCAGAGGGTGACGAGATGACATTAAAGCTTCAATATCAAGCCCATGCTGGTTAATTACGGTTTCCATGGCCCTTGAAACAAATTAAAATGAAACAGATAAGAGAAAATTATCTTCTAACAATTAAAAGGAAACAGATAAGAGAAAATTATCTTCTGGTAAATAACAGAAGAGGAGAGCTTTCATGGAATCAAACAAGCAGTATGTTTGCCAAAGAAATGGTGGAAATGATCTAAATGGTTTAATCTAATAGGCAGATTGGGAGAGTGGTAACCATAGCAACCAAACTGGAAAATCTTTTCTTGAGGTCTGCATCTTAGTCAAACATTAATAAGACAAAGAAAATCGTGAAAGGCAGATGACATAAACGATAACTAAACCTTCACCCAAGAGTTATGAGGACTCGATTCTATAGATCCTATTCTAAAAACATGGCCGGTCATTAAACAGGTTCTTTCATAAAACACACATACAGGGAAAGGAAATTAAAACTATAAAGATGTGAGGCATGTCAGAAACTCCACAATAAGAACTAATCACACATGAAGTTCCATGTCAAATTCCAGGTAATCATCACGTGGCTTAATACAAATGTGAGGAGCTTACCTAGATATGACTTGGTACGGCATCGAATTCTCCTTCCCACTAGATCTCATATGTTGCAAGATCTGAAATCATATAAAACGACAATCAATGAGAAACCCGATTGGCCCCATACATTGAACACATTAAGATTTGTAACTATGTTTACGAATAAACAACAAATAAACAAAGAGCACAAACCACATAAAGCTTTGTTGCTAGTTTTGTTGGCTCATCTTTGGAATCTTGAATAAGTTTATGCAAGAACTTTGCAGCTTCCAGCTCCACATTCTGTGGATTTGCCATGTTTCTTCACTGACAAGTACACAAATGAAAGTACACAAACAAATCAGGCAATACTATCAAAAATTTCTTTTAAATCAACACATATCCAAAATTACAAATATTTGAAATTTCCACAATAAAGTACTCGGTATAACATAGAGCAATAACGAACTTGAAGCGGAAAACAGACAATAGAACAATCACAATATACGTTTCACTTCGTTGACAACAGCCGAGAATGTTAACAATGTCTTATAGCAATGTGAAGTTTTCCAAAATTCCATCAATATTCTCCAACATATCTGTACCTTGCCCGAGATTAAACTTTCATGGCTTCAACATCTTCCCGTTTTAGTTTTAGTTTTAGTTTTAGTCATGTTTTATGCTTTTAGGTATAGCCAATATAAGTGACCATATTTGCACATTTCTTACTGTTCTACAGAAAAGGGAACACAAAGCATCACAATAAAATAGTTACTGAAATATATATCAGTAACCCCATCCATTATCCCAGAAATAACTCAAATCTCTACATCCTAACATATGGAATTTCACCTAAGATCCAACCATCAAACACAATAAAATAAAATAACCACGGAGCTAACCTTATAGTGAGGCGTGGGGCAATTGCCCCAGCTCAGAGTTTCCAACTTGCCCTCTATATACTGAAATTTCAAACTTAACAATGAATTGCCCCACCTAAATTCACTAATACTAGCCGCAATTGAAGAGTGAATTTTCTTGTGGTACACCTTGGGCGGTTGACGATTGAGGAAGAAGAAGGAGATGAAGTGCAGCTTTGTCTAAGCGCTTCAACCTAAGCCCTCCGGCGACGAATTTACATCGGCGAACGATCCAGAGCATAAATTCAATTTGGGATTGGCACTAAATTAAATTGAAGAAAATGAAATGAGCCCTAAAGTGTATAAATTAGGACTCATAAGATCTTTGCGTTTGATTATTTCATTTTGAAGGTTTTGCGTTTTATTATTGGGTGCGTGTAAATGAGTGGACTAGTGGAGGTACCTTTGTGCAATTATGCTATAAGAGTTAATATCAAAAAAACCCCTCTAGGTTTTGTCAAATGTCAACCAGATCCCCGGACTGATGTGTACATCAATGATTTCCTTTCATGTTTAAGACTTTTTTTGGGATGAATTCATAATGATTTTTTTAAATAAAGACTACAAATTCATTACAGTTAGACAATTTTGGGACAAATTATTTTTTTACTCGTAATTTTTTGCCAATGAAAATATTTTTTTGGCATTCTATATTTCTTTTTAATTCAGACCTAAGAGATTATATAAGCAAAACATTTTTTCGTGAACTTTCATTTAGATGGTTTTTTATTAAAAAAATTAGCCTGAAATTCTGAGGTTTTTTCAGTCATTTCGTTCTTCTCACTAGCTGATTTTCAGGTTTGTTTGGTCAAGAGATGTATCCAGTTTTCTTCAAATAATAAAGGTATTTAGATTTTCAATCAATACTCATGGTGTCTTTTATATGAATTCTCTTACTAAATATATGGTTCCCTAAAGTTTTTGAAATTATATTAGTGCCCACCTTTTGAAAATACTTTGTACCTCTTTTATGTTATTATTTTTCTATAGGATCAGTATACATTGTAACTTGTAAGTAATAGATTGTAATAGCCTCTTACAAAATGCGATATAGAGTACTTACAAGAAATTATTGACGTGTAAACAAATATTTAGTTAAACTAACTTATGTTATATAGAAAAAGATTTACCTAAAATATTATTTTGGCGAGTCCGAGCGAAACCATTATTTTGGCATTTTATTTTTGTAGCCAACCGGTTTCTCTCTCTTGTTTCCTCACTCTCTCGGCGCATGATAGCCCCCTGCTAAAGTGCGCCTCGCCATGGCACGAGGGAGGAAACCGAGTCAGAAAGCAGCAATCGGAAAAGCCAAGAATGCAGAAGACCAGACGAAAATGAGTATCTAAACAAGGAATCAGCAAAAATTAAAGGAGAAACTGCAGATCTCGGAGAGTAACAGAGAGAAGGTCGAACCCTAAGTCAAAAGGGGATGACCAAACAAAGCAAACAGAGAAGCAATTAGGGGTAGAGAATCAATTGAACAAGAAAGGGGAACAATCAGGGGAGAAACTAAATTAGACCGAATCACATGAAGATGGCAACAAAGCTAGTGCTCGGGAGACTTTTGATGTGAATCGATTGAGGAAATCTGGGGCCAAATTAGAGAATAAACCACCAAAGGTGATTAATGGAGTGCCAATTGCTGAGATTTAACTTGAGAAAGTCTTGCAAGAGGCGGAGTATTGGCAAAACTCAGGGGTGAGCTTCGTTCTCGGTGCAAATCCACCGTACTCCGTTATGAATGTATACTACAAGAAACTGTGGGGAGGAGTTGACAAGGTAATTCTTTTACCCTCTGACCTATGTGTTATCAGATTTTCGAATTCAATTGCTAGAGATGATGCTTTAAAGTTGAATATCTATCATTTTGGAAACGGCCACCCAGTCATAGTTAAACCATGGTCCATAAAAAAGGGCATAAATTATAAAGAGATGGATAATTCTACTTGAACTGTGAGAAAAACTCAAAGTACTCAGCCTAAATATTGATAAAGCATGGATGATTTGTGCGGACTTCAATAATGTCCTCAAACCATAGGAGAAGATGGGGGGAAATGCAGTGACTTTAAATGAAATTGAACCATTCCAACTCCGCGTAAATGATTGCCAACTCCAGGATATGAGGCAACATAGGGAAACTTCACATGGAATAATAAACAAATGGGTGAAGCAAGAATCTATGCTAAGCTCGACAGGATATTGGTAAATGGAGAGTGGTTTGAGCAGCATGATCAGGCCATTACCATTGTACTCAATGAAGAGTCTCTGACCACACTCCTTTGTTAGTTCAGATGGAGGTGGAAATCCAGAGCAAACCAAAACCATTCAAGTACCTTATTATGTGGAAGCTGGACAACTTTCTTGATATAGTGGAAAAGAATTGGAGGAGGAAGGTGACAAGCACAAAGATGTTCCAAATAGTTAGGAAGTTGAAGTACATGAAGAGGGATTTAAAGGCACTAATCAGGAGCAAGTTTTTTGAGATTCAAGTGAAGTAGATACAAGCACAGAACACCATGCAGACACTACAACAACAGCTTGTCATGGCCCCAAATGATATACAACTTTAGGCAGCATAGAGAGAAGCTTGGATTAGGGAGGGAGAGTTTTATGAGACAAAAACTCATAAGGGAGAGAGAAGCTTGATGTTGATGTACCATCACAATACTCAAATTACTAAGGTTGTGGAGAGTTTTATGAGACAAAAACTCAAAGAAGATTGGATAAGGGAGGGAGACATCAACATCAAATATTTCCACTCCAAAATGAAGCAAAAATTGGTTAGAAATCGCATATGGTCAATCACAGTTGAAGAAGGTAGAATTGAAAGAGACTGGAATGAAATAGAGAGCCACTTCATCAACTTCTTCCAAAAACAACTTGCCAACAATCCCTAAGGAAGGTGGTGAGACAAGAAATATTCTGTAAGGGGCCTAGACTGAATCTGGAACAGCAGATCAAGCTCAGGGAAGCAATCAGTAAGCAGGAAATCAAAGCAACACTTTGGAGCATCAACGCAAACAAAAGCCCCGGCTCGGATGGGTATGGAAGCGAATTTTTCAAAGTTTCATGGAGCATCATTGGAGAGGACATAACTGATTCTATTGTAGACTTCTTTGAAACTGGTATGCTTCTCAAACAATTTAACTCCACTGTTATAGCTCTTATTCCAAAAATTGAGAATGCATCTAATGCTAGCTAATTTCGGCCTATAGTTGTTGTAATGTCTTTTATAAAATTATCTCGAAAGTTTTATGCAATAGGCTTAAATTGGTGTTGCCAACTCTAGTAATGAAAACCAGGGGGCGTTTGTACAAGGTAGAAGTATTCTTCATAATATCCTTACTTATTAGACTAAACAACCGTAAGAAGGTTACTGGTAGATGTATGATGAAAATAGACCTCTAAAAGGCGTATGATTCAGTTGAATGGGACCTTGTTGAAGAGTGTCTTAGAGGTTTTGGATTTCCCAGTAAGTTTACAGGGTGGATCATGGCTTGTATTAGAACCACCTCATTTACGTTCAACCTAAATGGAGTAAATGTAGGGTTTTTTTACGGTAAAAAATGACTGCAGCAAGGTTACCCAGTTTCGCCCTTAGTATTTGTCCTAGTAATGGAATATTTCACTAGGCAATTGAAAGAGGTAGCTGAGCAGCCTGAGTTCCAGTTTCACCCGCTTTGTAAAACCCTAAAACTCACGAACATCTGTTTCGCTGACGACTTGATGATCTTCTGCAAACCAGACTTGTTCTCTGTGACTTGCATAAAAGAGGCTTTTAGTGAATTTTCTCTTACATCTGGTTTAAAGGCAAACCCTATGAAGTCTGAAGTCTTTATAGCTGGAGTTGATATGGCTTTAAAGAGTGAAATATGTGACCTGGTTGGGTATATGAAGGGGGCATTTCCAATGCGATACCTTGGAGTGCCTGTATCACCGAAAAAGTGGAGCCAGGTTGAATGCCTAGTACTAGTAGAGAGAATAACCAGTAGACTCAAGTGTTGGAGTACAAGGAATTTGTCGTATGCCGGGAGACTTTAACTGATAAATTCTATCTTACTTCACCTATATGTATACTGGGCTTCAACTTTCATTCTCCCTTACAACATGACAGAAACAATTGATAGGAAATGCCGTGAGTTCCTCTAGGGTGTCAAAGAATCAGGGAGATACCATGCGCTTGTAGGCTGGGAGCAGGTATGTAGAAGGAAGAAGGAAGGAGGGTTGAGTATCCATGATGAAAGAGTTTGGAATGAAGTGGCTATCTTAAAGCAAGTCTGGTGGTTAGCTAACAAAAAGGACTGTTTATGGGTGAAGTGGACTCATGAAGTTTCCTTAGGGAAGAAAAGTATATGGGAAGTCCACAGCAAGCAGCATCATAGCTGGCAGTGGAAACAA